CATGTGGTGTGGATGCTCGTCAAATGAGAAATAATAATTTGAACTTTGGAACAGGGGAGTCTTCTACCCCTTTTAATCAATTGTATATAAATTATTTGTTATCAAATTTATTCTTTACTTCCAGTAATTTCAGTGTATCTAAAGGACCTTACACCTTTTGCGAGAATGTACATACATTTTCTTCATTTAATTGGCTTGTTGAGCTAGGTGAATTCCTTATTGAGCAAATTAATGCAGTAGCCATCAAAATAAGGCAGAACCGACCTTTGGGATATATAAATAATTTTCTTTCTCTGCTAACGGTTAGTTTCTCGTATAAACATAAAAAAATATTTATTTCTTTGTGCAAAGTTGAATATGACTTTTCTTTTACATAACTCTGATTTTATGAGCACACTTCTTTGGTTACTCCTGTCACTCTTGAGGTCAGACCTCGAATGTTGGGGTGATCAACAACTGTAAGCTGGAACTATCACAGATTGTATAGCCTTTAAGAGGCTGAATAATGAACAGGCAAGTTACATTTAGTTTATGTTTATTTGGGAGTTCTAATGATTAAAGCATTTATTTTTTAAATAAATTACAGGTCCATCATCACTTTTTGGATCTGAAAGAGGATGAGCTCGCTGCTCTCAAATCCAGATGAAGGATTACCCGATCCAATTCCAGCACCGGAATTTCAAGGCAGACCAGAGGCCACTGTATCAATTGATATGGGGCCAGTTGTTTCAAGCAACATTGCCCAAGAGACAATGTACATTGCAATGAAGAAAAATATGCGATCAATAATTGAGCTGCTAAAAGGCCAAGCGAAATGGTTCACTGAATTTCACGAAACCCTGAATACATTAACTGTTGGAGTGTCAAGTTTACAGGGGCAAATGTCGGTGCTACAAAATAAGATTGATAAATCTGAAAATATTTTAACTGATAAAGGCGAAGATGTGGGAGTTTATGATGCCTAACCAGCCTCCCTTCATGGTGGAAGTCCTCATGATGTTGTATATACTAAGTTCGACGTTGAGGAAGCTCATCAATCGTCTCCTGTGGGAGAAGAGGGAGCCCAGGAGAACATTGATGGAGCCCAACAATCATGTCTTGTGGGAGAAGAGGGAGAACAACAGTTGTCTTCTATGGGAGAAGAGGGAACCCAACAATCAGCTTCTTTGGGAGAAGAGGGAACCCAACATACCTCCCATGTTGAAGGAAACACTTTTGAAGGCTCTCATGAACGGTCCGTCCCCAGCTAAATCCAAAGGGTTAAAGGTAGACAGAGTAGAAGAAAGAAGAAACTGAGTTCAATTTCACTGCTTTTGAGTTCAAGAAAAGAAAAGTACTGAGATAAGTCGATGAGCCGATGTTGTCTGATGAAGATGTCGCTGTACATACGAATGCCGGTGAGGGCAAAATTGAATCAATTGTCATAGCACTAACAACCCCCATTGTAGAGGAACAAAAAATAATTGAAGATGAAGAAGTAGAATGATCAGTAGTCTTGACACTAACAACTTTAGGAGATCAGTCAGATGTTGTCAATATGATATTTGGAAATTATTTTTTATACATTGTTTTATATCATCTAAATTACTTATGTATTTCAAATGTTAAACAGAATTTTATTTTTCGTAACCTCTTCCAATGAACTCTTAGATAAATTATCCTGGCAGAGATATGGTATCAACCGAAGCACGACTAGTGATTGATCAAACTATGTCAAAATACACTAACATGTGAGTAATCTTCATCTTTTATAATGCATTGCTTTTGTCTTACATTAAAGGCTCACAATGATTTTGTGCTATTCAGCAGGGATGATATTATGTTACACACTCGAGACATTTTTATAGATCACAGGGCAATGGAAGAATTATTGTCCAATGTCATGATTGCAAATGACCATGTTGACACCCAAGCCATGATTTTGGACAGAAAGAGAAATGCGTCTCCATCTTTTTTCAGGCCTTATATTTATGTATCGTCATTATACTGGGTAATTATTTATGATTAAGTATATTTAAAATTTAAATAACTATATGAATATATTATAAGTTTGTAATCTTATGCAGGTTATCATTAAATGGGTAACACCGAAAGATTTGTGAGTCATATCACAAATGAAGCAGTTAAAGAATTTGATATTATTATGATTCCTATTTTGAACAACCAACACTGTGTATTGTTGATTGCGGATTTAGAGGAGAAGAAGTGCAGAATTTATGATTCATTACCCAATCAGATGCACAAAATCATGTGCAATGACGTTGTAAGTATATTGTCAGTCGTTAAAGGTATACCCATGCAATTTCACCACTTTAGTCCATGCACTCATTATTATTAAACTTTGCAGATCAAAAGGTTTGTAATAGACACTGAAGGTTCTTTTAGGGCAAAACCCGGGACCTGACAACTTTCAATAGTTAAACTTGTTTTTCTCTTTGTATGAAATTATAAACATCCCTCTTCGTGCAATCAATATTTTCAACACCCCCAAATTCTGTTGACAGAAAATTAAATGCATGGCTTGTTCTAATCTCTGATTGTGTCATCGATCTAAGCACTTCTGCATTGATATCACTCATCTTTCTATTGGAACGCAATAGATTTTTGTCACCGTTCGCCATCAAATGATGGTTATGTCTCTCTATAAATTTTTTAACTAACCAGTTACCTTCGACATCGACGACATATCGAATTATGGCTGAACAACCAGTCCTTTTGTCCCCTCTTCTGTATTTCACCTTCACATTGTTATTCAATTCTTTCTTGAAACCAACCTTACCACAAATGAAATCTTTTGTTTTAATCATTTTTAAATTTGGCCAAAAACCAACTTGATCCTTCCGCACAATAAATCCAATTTGGTGTGCATATGCACAATATTGTTCATAGGCTTCCTTCTCATTATGAACCACTGTTCGAAGCAAGCTTTCCGCAATTGGATCAATGCACACAGTTACAGGGTTACAGGTGCACACAGTTACAGGCTCGGGAAACTGCAAATTTTAATATATCACAATTAGAATGACCAAAATAACGCCTACACAAAACAAATTAATAAATCCAATAAGACTAGTATGAAACGATACATAAATAATACCATAATAATACATAAATAATACCATAATAACACAAATGTAGTTTAAAGTCAATAATACAACAATAATTCCATAGTACAACCATAATAACATGAAAATAACACTAATTACAACCCTAAACATAACACCATGATAATACCAAAATAGAAGGAATATATTATGGTTGTATTATGACATCATAATAACACAAATGTACAGTTCAAAGAGAGTGTTATTTTGGTGTTATTATGGTAATATTAAGTGATTTTCTCATTCTGGTGATATTTTACTATTATTATGGTTGTATTATCATTCTAAACCCTTAATCATAAATACAATGATAATACCTAGCTAACACCACGTTCATCCTCCAACATAACAATATTGTTGCAATCAAATCATATATAAATCAAACAAGAATAGCTCCGCAATATTCCAATCATTAGAACACCATTAATAACACCAGTAAATAGAAATAAATAAGTTCACATGTGGAACGCTTCGGGACTCAGCTAATAAACTCAGCTCATTAACATCATTCACACAATCATTTTGCGATTCTATCAGCATTTCTTGGTCGAGAGAGAAATCCATCGGAAAAACCCTAACCGTCGAATACGAACGCAAATGAAAAAAGAAAGTATTTCCTGAACCCTAAAAGGAATTAAAGCCGAATATTTACGATTTGGTGGGATCCATAATGCCAAAATATACTATTTGTAGGGATCGGAAAGTGACAAATAGACTTTTTTTGGATATTGGGCGGGGTTCGGGCCGGGTCGCGCTCGAAAAACACTTTTCCACTTATTTTTTTGCTGGTGGGCCCATATAATCCAACTGTCATTTTTTAGTTCACTGCCGCAGGTAACCCTGTGTGCAGTCTCTGAACTGAATAATTTCCCCTCATTTTAGGAGAAAATGCACCTCTATAATTCTTAGTTGCTATGTTTAGTGACCTCCACAAACTTTGTGTTATCTCTTCCCTTCTTTAAAATTGACCAATCTTCATCTGCAGGTGATAACTAATATAACTATTTTTAATAGCCTATCTGAAATTTCTATTTAACCCTTTTCAACCCCTCAAGATTGATTATGTTGTCTTCGCCCATAGACAGATAATTAATAGGTTACTTTCAACAACCTTGTTGTTTTCTCATGTTACCATCACCATTACTTGGACCAATTAGCTTTTATTTATTTTTATTAGTCATATTGAGGTTCATGAATGACAAACCTTTATGATTGGGCAATCCCATATGAATTTTCTAGTATCTTTTAACAAAGTTGTGTCGTCAGCTTACTTCACTTTGATTACACATGAAATATCATTTAAAATTAAATGAGATTGAAATCACTTTAAATAATTTGACTTTTTGGCATGTAATATGATGCATTATAATCTATTGTCTTTAATATGATAATTGTGATTTCGAAGTACGAAGACTTTCAATACTAACCAGATAATATATATTATTATAGTTAAGATTTAGAGTATGCCTTACAATTTTGATTGGTAAAATATAATGTATTTAGATTTTTAAGAAAAAGGCTTTAATATTATGTCTTTATTTGATTCACATCAACAAATGATTTAAGTTATTAATACATTCAATAAATTTCATATTATAAATAAAAATTGAAATAAGAAGAAGATGGATGTGTTATAAAAACAGCCAGGGATATTAATATACATACTATGCAATACTCGTGTATTTATCTAGCACATAAATATTTATATTTATTTGCATATAATTCAAATATTTGACATTATATGAAAAATATCATCATTATTATCTTTATTTTAAATATAAAATACATTATTTCATGCATAGGACAAAATATTATAAATATAAATATTAAATTTTGAGTGTTAGATATTTATATGGATGTAAATTTCTCATATTGAAGTATAGGGTAAGAAAAAAATTCTCTCTTTGTTGGTCATATCTTCCAAGCCGCCTTTGAAAATGTCGTTGAACCTCCTGAAAGAAACCCTCCTCCGTTCTGCCTCCACCTCCACCTCCGTCTCCACCTCCAGCTCCGGTGACTTTTTCACCGGAGATTCTGCCATCGCTACCACCTCCGCTTTGCTTCCACCTACTTCGTTATCCTCCTCGACTGATAACCTTACGTCAAGGAAGCCCCCTAAATCTTCCCTTTCGCAGCAGTTACAGCGACTCGATTTCGCCTCATTCTCTCCCGAAGAAAACCCTTCGATCAAAACACATCGAAGCATTGTTGAAGGAGGCGTCCGTATTGCCGAACGAGGAGGAGGAGACGTGGAAGACGATGAAGAGGAAGGGGATGGGGAAGATACTACGATAGTTGGTTGTGACGGTGCTGTTTCACAGCGATTCGATTTAGGTGACAGAGGCCCATTTGAACCTCTGATTCTCTCGTCTCCCGGGGAATCTCCGGTTGTTCAGGTTAGCATCTTCTTTTTTGATTTACAGCTATTTCTTTTATCTTTCTGTGCTCGTTTGGACTGAATGAATTTGTACTTTTTAATTATTTATGGTTTGGACTGGATGAATGACATTGTCAAAATTATAGTTTGATCTGTTAGGCTCACACCATAAGTTGTACCATTTTTTTATTACCACAACCTTTTTTCTCTTGTTATCCATGACAAATTTACTTTTTTGATCCATAACTTTGAAGTGATAGAGCATAAGTTCATTGGAGATGTTTTAATGCAGTCTTGCCATGTACATTGCCAATGTGGAGATATATATCAGTGATCCACCAATCACTAGGGCCCATCTTATAAATTTTTTGTATAATCTTATCACTGCCACAATATGTGCTATTTTCTTCATCTTTCTTCTTGATACCTATTAGGGTAGAATTTTTGGTGGTGCCATTTCTTGAATTGTTCCTAGGAAATGTTTTTAAGACCATGTTAAAGATGAGCATTTCAACAAATTAGTGTATGTTTGACGAGTTTAATATGAGTAAACAAAATGCTCTGTTTGGATGTATGCTCACAGTGACTAAAGTAGGTTTCAAGGTGATCTATGAAGGTTTTTGGCTTCTTTGCATCATTAAAATCATTAAAGATGGGGATCTTTAATTTTATCTCTACTTTGAAGGGTTGACGCTGTCCTCTAAAAGAAGACTCGAGATTACCATATTCTGTTTCATTTTCTTGCCTGTCTGAACTTCCATTTTCTTATTGCTGTAAGATTTTGTTATAGGATTGATATCCCCTATTTTTTATTTCTTGACTCACTACTGAAATATGCTTTCTATCATCCCCATCATTACAACCACTACTATTGAAGGAATGCAATTTGTTTGGCAATTCATTTAACGCTTCTCCTTATAGTTCTAGAGTACTAGCTTTCCTTTGTCTTTCCTTGAAGTATTTAGGTCCAAGAATGGATCCATGATCTTCTTGTGTCGCTTGAAGTTCTTTCAAACCTAGTGCTCTGATACCAAAAGCCCTAATCATGCCACTAATTGAAAGTCAAGAGGGAAGATGAGAATTTCTTGAATTCCCTTTCTCTATCTATTTAATTCAATGAGTCTTTTCTCAAAGTAGGAACCCGTCTTTAGGTCTAAATTGTTTTTATTACCTATAAGGATTGGATCCCATACTCTCATGGTATCATTTTATAAAACAGGGAATATTAATTGCAATTGTATAAATAAAAAATATAATTACAAGACAGATCTTTTATTATGTTGCTAAATATAATTGAGGAAATCATTGTTGTAAATTACAAGGAGGCAATATTGTTTTCAACTTTTATTTTGTGAACTGGTAGAGCTAGATTGGCAATGTAACCACTCAACAATAATCTTCTCAGTCATTAAGCTATTAAGGATTGGAGTGTATTATCAAGGCCTTTTTAGAGTTTTGTTTGGCCTCACCAATTCTTTTTGAATTTGATAAATTTCTTTTAGCATCACTTTAGTCTCTTCTCAACAACATAGTGAGCATTTTGGGAGTCCCCTTACAAGCTTCTAAGTTCTTCAACTTGGTCCCCACACGCCTTATCGAGTCACTATCCTCTTGATCAATCGTTACTGAAACACTCAGCGACAAAGTAGAAAAAGTTCAACATATTCAATGTGGCTAAGTCTAACTTATACTCTTTGACGTGGGCAACCATTCAAGTGAGACAATTTGATAATATTTAATATACCTCTTAATCTTGAACGAGAGCAACAACAAAAACCATAAGAAAATTGAGTTTGGTTGAAGCACAACCCCTAGTTAATCATGACAAGGTTTTATCGCCTCAAGAAGGTGGAACTGTGATAGAAAAGAATCAAGGTATTTCTTAGTCATCATCAACGATAACAATGGAGACTTTCTTATTTCAGCTCGATTAGATCAATTTGGATTGGCGGTGATGGGCATTTATTGCTCGGATTGGTCTTCCATATATTTTTAATAATTGTGGAAGGCAACTTCGTCGAGGAGGAAGACGTTGGAGTGCATGCACATATATAGAAGAGAGATAATCCAATATGATGAACACACAAATATACATTCACTCACACACAAGGGGGTTGGCGTTGGAGAGTAATTCAACATGATGAATTGTCTTGTTTTCTATGCCCTCTTTTATTTATATGCCAGAAGATGGAATGACTCCCTTGAGAAGCTCATCGGTCATCTAGGGGTGTCAAAGACTGAACCGACACATAAATTTGAGTAAAAAAATCAGGGTTTGGGTTGACCAGATTAAATTTTGGGTCAAATTCGGGTCAACCGACTGTGCTAACACAATTAATTTCTTAGGTTGGGTTTGGGTTGAATTGCCAACCCAAAACCAACTTGAATTTGACTCAAAATTGACTTAAATGGCTATTATGTATATATTAAATGAGTTACTTGAGTGGAGTTGTTGGTGGGTCAGGTTTGGGTTGGAGTTTTTAACCCGTTTAGTATTCAGGTCGGGATAGGGACAAGTAGTTTTTGGTTTGATTAATTTTAGGTTAGACCCAAACCTGACTCGCTAATTCAATTTGACAACCCTAAATGCATCCCTGGCTTCTCGATGCTGAGGCGTTGCCCTGTTAGGTGCTATTTTTTTGTGCTTAAATAAAATAACGACGATGACAAGATTGAAAATCTAATAAAATCACACGAGGGATAGATATTTGAAAATCTTGACAAAAAAATATTTGAAAATTGCATACTCATTCTTTTCCATGCTCCACCTAGAATAAAGAATTGTTACAGCCAGGATCACTTTACTTCGTTACTATTTTTTCACTTCCCCAAGACCCATGTCTTCTTGGAATGAAATAACCTTGTCTAAGTGAAACCATCCTCTCTAATCTTGTCTTCTTTGTTCATAACTCAGAATTTGCCCTAGTCTTTGTTTTCATCCATAATAAATTTGTCAACACGTAAGTAACATTGGAGCACTCAATTACATTAGAGAATTTAAAAATAACATGAAAAAAATACTCTTTATTGGAATAACAATGTTCCTTTTATGCCACTTCTCTTGCAAAATCTTTTAGCTCTAGTGATGACAAGATGGTTCACTTTATCTTTGCGGTTCACCCCAAACAAATGTGTCAAAAGCTTCCCATTCAATACCATATTCCATACTAAATGAAAGGCCAACATCATTCTATGCATCCATGATAGTGGTACACTTTTTCAAGTTGTGTAAAACGTCTTGAAGATGAGTGGTTAACATTGCTAACAAGTTTTCCTCTACTAGGGCTTAATTGTGGTGAGGCAATGTCCTTCCCACAATGAGGATCCATAGTTCAACTTCGTTATTTGTGTCTTGGGAAAGCACTCCATGATGATTAGGTGTGGGTGGCCAAAGATTCGGCTTGATAATTTGCAACGTTGATTGAATTTCATGCATTTTTTTTTTTGCAAGATCTATTTCCATTTTTTTAAATCTCTATCTACACAATCTTTGTACTCCTATGTTTGGGCAATGTGTTTTTAGCTATGCCCACATATCATTGGTTTTATCATCACTTCTCAAAAGGCTGGGAATTTTAGTGTACTGACATATGGTGATACCCTCATAAGTGACCCTCATTGACTAGATTATCAAGCCTTGCATGAGTCGTGCTCATGGAAGAATCAATTGTAGTCCTATCATAGAATTTTCTAGAATTTTCATAGATTCCATTGTGATATCGTGGTTCATGACCTTCATATTTAGGCTTAGGCTATCCAAAAGGGTTGTTCATGAACAATTTGTGCTCGACTTATTAAGAAGCCTGTGTTTGACTTAGCTCATTTTTTATAAAAGCTAAACATAAACAAGTCTTTATTTGACCATTATATATATATATATATATATAAAGATTGGTCAGAGACTATTATACAAGCCTCCCGAATAACCTCATGTACCTAAAAATTCCATTTCGCACATAGGCAGGATCAAACTCGTGACCCAGGGGTCTTACAAACTTTGTCAACCAAAGAGTCACGTTAGATGACACACACACACACATACGTACATATATGCGTACATATATATAGAACAACGACAACAACAACAACAACAAAACATTATCCCACTAAGTGGGGTCGATCACACACGACACACACGACACACACAACACACACACATAGACATACATACACACGCCCGTGTGCGCGCGCGTACACGTACACAGACACATATAGATACATATATACATACAAACATACATACACCCATATACACACACACACACACACATACATACATACGTACATAAAAATTGGCTAGAGGCTATTATACGAGCCTCCCGACCAACCTCTTATACCTAAGAATTTCATCTCGCACATATGCAGGATCGAACCCGTGACACCAGGGGTCTTACAAACTCTGTCAACCAAAGATTACAGTAGGTGACACACACACATACATACATACATACATACATACATACACACGTATATATTCATATACATACATACATATATATACACATATGTATAGATATATATACATATACATGTAAACCTAATTCAAGCCAAATATTAGACAAACAAATTCATTAGAGGTTGAACGAACTGCATATAAACAATATTCTTTAAACCTGAGCTAAATTTGAATAAAAAAATATTCAAACCAACACATATCAAGCTTGCCATTATTTTTCTTGTTTATACCTTTTATCTCCTTCTACTGCTCTTCAATACGTTGGCAATATAGACCTTTAGTTTGTGAGTTAGATTTCTCACTTTTATTCTTTTAGGTGAATTTCATCGAGGGATTGTCACGGTCTGAAGGGATCATAATTATCATGGATCTCCTTAGTAAGTATGCGCATTTCATTCCCTTACGACATCCCTACAAGTGTTTATCCGGGAAATGATTTGTTTGCACAGAGTACCGGAATAGATTGTTTCAGATAGGGACAAGGTGCTCCTCAGCCGCTGCTGAAAGAGCTATTCAGGTTACAAGGGATAGTCCTTAAGAAAAGCACTGCATATCATCCCTAGGCTGATGGACAGACAGAAGTGTGAAGTGTGGAGACATACATGCATTGTTTTGTATATGATACGCTGAAGTTATGGACCAAGTGGATTGCATGGGCCAGATATTAGTATAATGCGTCGTACCACACCACACCACAAAACACCCTTTTCAAGATATTGTATGGGCGAGATACACCTCACTTGGTACATTATGGGCATGATGTCACACCAGCATCTAACGTCAATCAATATTTGGATGAGAGGGACCTGATACTAGTAGAGCTCAAGGTTCATTTACTATGAGTTCAACAAATTATGAAGAGGAAAGCGGATGAATACAGGAGAGAGGTGTGGTTTGAACCAGAGGACATGATCTACTTGAAGCTGAGGCCCTATTGACTGAAGTCATTGGACAGAAGGAGAAGCGAGAAACTTTGACCACAATATTATGGACCATATGAGGTGATGACACACATCGGGGAACTGGTTTATTGTTTGAGATTACCACCATCGTGCGAACTATACCCGGTCTTCCATCTGTCACAACTGAGACGTGCGATTGAAGATCATACAACCTCACTTACACTACTGTCGACGCCGACAAAAGACTTGAAGGTGATTTTAGAGCCATTAGAGATCAAATGAGTGCACCGAGAAGTGGGGGGAGCAAAGGAGATATTGGTCAAATGGAAATGGCTAATCGACTACGAAGCAACGTGCGAGCTTTACTAGATGATCCAAAAGCAGTTTCTACTCTTCCACCTCGAGGACAAGATATCTTTTTGGGAGGGGAGTAATGTTACACCTATACGTGAGCCGGTCCGCCCTGGACCAGTTGAAGACATCATAACCAGCCCACAGACAAGGCGAATGGGGGGAGCCACAAAAGAAGGAATGGAAGGGTGGGGTCCACTAGGGCCATAATCACATGGAGAAATTAAGGGAGTTTGAAAGTAAAGTGAGGAATGAAAGTTTTTGAATTTTTTGGAGGGGATTTTATTAAGGGGAGAACCTAGAGTTGTTTTCTTTATGCATTATTTTGTTGGCTGTTGTGTTTTCTCCTTTTGGTGGTGTTCCTAGCAATGTCTAGGGTATGGGAAAACCAATCTACCTTTTTGTATTTTGCTTGTTTGCATTTGTTTTTCACAACAACAATCCTTATTTAACTTGTTACCATCTATCTATCGTCGTTTCACTAGTGTTTCTTGCTTTTTGAGTCCGGAGCTTATCATCAAATATTGCTTTTATAGTTGTCATTGCTGCTTACTCCATCTTTTGATTTTTTCCACCATTTTTAAATCAATGAAATGGGAAGTGTTTTCACTGGAAGAATGTTAAGTCGCACTTGCAGTTAATGAAGTCATGCTTTTAATTATACCAAAGGGTATCCGTACAACTCTGCTCAAATTCCAATAATGATTAAATTTAATTGGAGGGAACTCCATCCAAGTTTCCCCCTTCACAAGATATATTAAAATAAATAAAAGATAAATGATGATATAAAATAAAATAAAAATCGTATAATGATTAGCTATTTCACACTCAAAGCAACCTTTTATCCATCATCAATATCAATTTACCAATGACAAGACATCTAATGTTTGCCCCAAGTTACATAGAACTAGATACATATTTAGCATATCTATATGATTATAGCTGAAACAATTTGCCAGTTAGATCTTACGTGCTCTCTCCAAAACCAACCAAATTGTCACCCATGATAATTGCCTCTACAATGCCCAACAACAAAGCTTGAGCTTGCCATGGCTAGGGGTGCTAGGAGATCTTGTTGAAGGTTCTAACACGAATCACCTACAAAGACTAACAATGCTAGTCCCTGCCTTTATTGCCTTTGTGCCAGCCTCACCGTTCAATCCCCACCTCCATAATCGCTTTCATCACCACCATTGCTGCCTACACATCTATCTACTCTAGCTTCTAATTCTTCTGAAGCATGGACTCAATTATGCCAAAATTGCGTGCTTCCATCTTTAAATCAATGAAGTAGGTAGAGCTCTCATCTGTAGAAGGTGAAATTGTTCTTCTAGATGATAAAGTCATACATATAATTATAATTGGAAGAGTTCCTTATCATAAAAATGTGCTCGAAGTTTAAGAGAAGTCTCTTCAGACTCTTTTTCAAATCATGATTATACTCACAGTATAATCACAATCAGCGAGAATTATACTCAAATTTATCATCTTATGAAATGTATAAAAAACTAATACGTAAATAAATAAATAAAATAATATAAAAATTAAATTTAGAAATTAATTAATAATAAAATATTTTATGCTCAGAGTAGATTATTAATTCATTATCTGTATTGATTTGTCACAAGTGACAAATCTAATTTTGACCCATGCTCAAAAAAATCTAATGTTATATCTAGTGTATCCATATATGATCACACTCGAAGCTTTTCATGTTAATAAGGACATCACATGTGACACTTAAGCAAGTGATTAATCTAACATCAATGATACCATTATATTACAATTGCAACTTAAGCCTGACTGTTTCTCAATGACTATGCTTATCAGTTGTGAAACATAAAGCACACCCAATAGGACATGAAGCCCTCTATTTGTCAAGGCTGACTTGATATTGGCCCTTTTAGCAAGTTTTCATCTCAATTCTATGAAGTTTTCTTGGATGACGCAACTCTTGGTTTTGGACAATATTATTTGGTAGGTTAGGTTTGATTATTTTCTTGGCCTAAGTAGACCAGAATACAATACAATTTGGGATGATGAGACCATAAGATCTAGATAAAAGCTGCCATCATTTCCTACCATATGCACTTAGCTAATGGGTATATAGTCTCTAATGTAATCCAAATTGCTCCAATTAAAGTAAAACATAATAGATTCTATAAATTAGCATTAGTCCAAAGCTATACCTTGTGATCAAGACTCGAGATGATTAACCAAACACAAGTGCTTGTGCCTATCAATGGATCCCAAGCTGAGAATGCATCCATTTTGATGAAATTAGCAGTTTTTGCCCAAAATAAATTAATCCTATATTTAATAATATAATCTGGTTACTAGTTGGACTATTATTATTATTCTCAGTATGATTATTTGCTTTTCTTGGAAGTTATTTTTTTCTTTTCACATTTTACATGACACATCTTCTGGCGGTCTTTTGTTCAAAACCATTTTGAGTTGAATTAATACTAGAATTTGATCTTTTATTAGAAACCTTCATCTTTCATGTAGGTTCCTGCATCAATTAATTGTAGGCTCCTTGAACATCAAAGGGAGGGTGTGAAGTTTTTATATGGTTTGTACAAGAACGACCATGGAGGTGTTCTCGGAGATGATATGTGAGTTTAATTATTTTTTTATTATAGCAACCTTGTATCAATTCTTTCGTTAACATTATTTGCAGTGATTGTTCTTAATTCTTGTTGAAAAAGGTTCCGCCAGATGCTTTTTGATTGGTAAACTTTTCCTTTTTGTGCCTGAATGACACATTGCCATCATTTGGGCCATTAATTTGGGGCATTTACATACATACCTTCCAATTTTTATGTATATACATATCTAACGCCTAAACCTTCTAACATTTATACCACCCAATTCTTTTATATTAAATAAACAATGCCACCTTTTTAACTTTTAAAAAGTAAGATACGCTTTTTATTGCAAAGGTAAGGTGGCATGTATGTAAAAATTGAAGTTTAGTTGTTAGATATGTAAATACATAGGAATTGAGTGGTATGCATGTAAATCTTCCTAACAGTTAATGAAATATCTTCAAGTACATCTGTACTATTTATGTGTTGCACTGTGCAAAATTTCAGCAAATAAAAATCTCCTAACCGCCTTGCACGCTGCTTATTTGTTGGCATAGAGAACATGGATAGAAATATGAAATTGATAATTATTGATGTATTATGGAGGCATGTACTTTTAACTAGATTCACTAGTTTAACCTTATTTGCAATTTCGCTAGATGTAATTAACAGACTCTTTTGCATAAGAGAGCCAATGCTTTTTTTCATTATAAATTATTTAGATTTTCGTTTCTTGCAATCAGAAAAACATGTCTTAAAGGGAAAAACTAGCAAATGAGAGGACTCATTTATGCATTTTAAAGAGATTATAATCTTTAGGATTAATAAATTATTTAGATCTCCTGTAGGCTGTTCCGTTTGTTGCAATCAGAAAAGCACTTCTTAAAGGGAAAATTTAGCAAATGTGAGGACTCATTTATGCATTTTAAAGGGAGTATAATTTTTAGGATGAATAACGTGTAGCAGTAATGCTATTTTTGCCAAAATGGTGCTCTAGAAATTGTAATGAACGTCAAAGCCATTTGCTTTTTTGAGTACTGGTGCTCCATTTTGATGCATCGTTCGCACATGCATAAATTTGATTCAGGGAGAATGACGATTTATTAGTATGAGATGAAGTTAATAAGCTATTTACTTTTTATGGCTTGTTATGTTAAGTTAATATCTCTTTGCAAATCTCAAAGGAGAGGAAAATAAATATGGTCAATGTTTGCCTTTCCCTGACAAACCAATCATTATCTATCATTATTCAAGACTCGTGCCTACTGAGCTCAAACTTCATTGTTCATTGGTGAATTCAATTGGAAGGTGCATTTTTGCGTGCTTTACAATTGTGTGGGAGTTGTGGAGAAATAAATAAGCGGTGGGCATGAGAGTCGTGTTAAGGGGCATTGAGGGTGGATCTTGAACTTTGAAGGAAGTTTCATTGCAAGTGCTTTGGCTTGCAACTTAGGCTTTGTTTGGTTACTAGATTTCTCTTTTTAAAGGGCCTTCTAAAAACTGTTTTTACAAAAGCTGCTTTTTAAAGTTTGATAGAAGTGCTCACTTACCCGCGATATACTGGTTGAGAATTTAGTTTCTCACCATGAGATCGCTTGTTCAAATAACACATATTGCTCTTGGGCTCAACCTTCCCGGAAAAAAAAAAAGTCTGATAGAAGTTACGGCTCAAATTAAAAAAAAAAGGTTTTTTTTTTTTAAATGGTTCTAGAAAGGTATAATTACCAAACAACTCATTAGATGAATAAAGGACTTTTCTGACACGGAAAGCAGCAAGTTAGGTTTTCTCAAACGAGTTTCTATTGCCCAGGAATTACCTTTGAAGTTTTGTAAGCATTGCATATGTGTAACTGAACTGGTATCTTGTTTTCTATTACCTGAAAAATATTATTAAGTACTACACGTTGTCTCTGATGTTATTGATAAGATTATATTTATCTAGCTCATTGATGCTATATTGAAATGATGCAATAAGATCGTTATATACAAGTTTGCCTCGCATTTTTTAAGACAAAAACATAGTTTTATCTAGTATCTTTTTGTTTGTGGTTCCTTTTATCACGTAACTTAATTTCCATCTAGCTACTATTTTTGACACAATATGGTAGTGAGATTTAACACCTGAATATATCAATTTAAAAAAGGATTTATCAAGAGTGATGGAAAACCAAACTTTTATTATCCTTGCCAAACTTGGGTTTTTGACTGGTTTGATCATATAAATGTATTTTTATCTCTGTTTTCTTATGTTGCTTCAAATGTACTAACTTCTAAATCACCTTTGCGTGACTTAAGTTGCTAATAAAGGATCATCATATAGCTTTTGACATCTCAAGTGGAATGCCAATGGTTGACTGCATTATTTGGACTTATGTAAATTGTAATCTCTATCGGTCATACAAACTTTTAAGATGAAAATTTTATGGAATGCTAATTTAGGTATGTACAAGTCTTTTTTGTTGAGGTAACTGAATCTGTATGGAAAGTTGCAATGGCATGTTGATTTAAACTTCTAACTCCTGGCAATGATCAATCTGATTTATTATAACAAATGTGTCCAGGTAATCTAATATTTTAACGATTAGAAGCCACACAGCATTTACATAACTTCTTGAATTTTCAGTGTAGGCGTGTTGACTTCTTCATGTCATTTCTACTCTTTAGCATTTCTATGCATGCATTACCTTAAATGCATGAAGGTTTTAGCTTCAGACTTAGTTTATTAGGAGACGAACAGCAGTAAGGCATTTCGTTATGTGGAATGATTTACATTGTTTTGTTTTGTTTTCCCTGAAGAATTCTATATCCATTGCTTGATGGCTTGTTTTTATGCATGTAATTTCTTTATTTTAATGCACCATATCAATATATGGGAGAGGATGGGATTTCTCGTGACAACTAGGTTGCTCATTTGTGACTTGGAGGTCTTGATTTCCAATTTTTAAAGAGGCCTTTCTGATTCTTTAATGGTAACAGCTAAAGATTTCTTTACCCTGCTGCAGGGGACTTGGGAAAACCATTCAGACCATTGCATTTCTGTCTGCTGTGCTCGGAAAAGATCAGGCAAGTCAAGACTGTCATATTGATGGCAATAAGGGTCCTGTCTTGATTCTCTGTCCCACTTCTGTTCTCCGCAACTGGGAAAATGAACTATCTGAATGGGGCAACATTCGTGTTGCTGTTTATCATGGGCCAAATCGTGATTTAATTATTGAAAAACTAGTTGTTCATACTGTGGAGATAGTTTTAACTAGTTTTGACACATTTCGAAATCAAGATCAAATTCTAACTGGGATTCAGTGGGAAATTGTTGTTGTTGATGAAGCACATCGTTTAAAGAATGAAAAGTCTCAGTTTTATAAATCATGCTTAGGAATCAAAACTAGCAGGCGATACGGTCTCACCGGAACTATAATGCAGAACAAGATTCTCGAGTTGTTCAATTTATTTGATTGGTTTTTGCCTGGTTCTCTGGGAACCAGAGAACATTTTAGAGAGTTTTATGATGAGCCTTTAAAGCACGGGCAAAGATTAAGTGCTCCTCAAAGATTCATTCGAATTGCTGATGAGCGCAAACAACACCTTGTTACGGTATTGCATAAATACCTTTTAAGAAGGACCAAAGAAGAGACCATTGGGCATCTTATGTTAGGGAAGCAAGACAATGTTGTTTTTTGCGCAATGAGTGATTTGCAAAAACGAGTTTACAAAAGAATGCTGGAGCTGCCTGAGATCCAATGCCTTGTAAACAAGGATCTCCCTTGTAGTTGTGGGAGCCCATTGACTCAAGTTGAATGCTGCAAAAGAATTGTTCCTGATGGTATTATTTGGTCTTATCTTCATAGGGATAACCCTGAAGGTTGCGACTCATGCCCTTTTTGTCTTGTTCTTCCTTGCCTAATTAAACTGCAGCAGGTAATTTGAAATTTTGCATTCTTTATTATTGTGGGGCATTTACTTACACACCACACAATTCTTATGTATTTACATATCTAACACCCAAACTTTCATATATCTTTAACCTCACATAAAAAATATCACCACCATTACCTTTTTAAAACTGAAATACACCTTTTCATGCATAGTTTTATGACACCAAGGTGTTATAAGTATAAATATCAAACTATGGGTGTTAGACTATGGGTGTTAGATATGTAAATAAAATACATTAGAATTGTGTGGTATGTATGCAAATTTCCCTATTATTAATAAACGTTGTTTGGATAAACTTTTAAATCAGTACTAGTTACTTTTGTAGATAAGCAATCACCTTGAGTTAATAAAGCCTAACTCTAAGGATGAAGTAGATAAACAAAAGAAGGATGCTGAGCTAGCCTCTGCTGTTTTTGGTGCTGATATTGGCTTGGTTGGAGGCAATGCTCAGACTGAAAATTTCTTGGGACTTAGTGATGCGGAACATTGCGGAAAAATGCAAGCACTAGAGAAGCTAATGTTTCATTGGCTCAGGTCCGGCGACAAGATACTTCTCTTCAGCTACTCTGTCAGGTAATTGATTTTTACACACTCAATATCCATGAATTTCATTTTTTCTCTCCAATTCTATTGAAAATCCTGCAGATTGATTGTTATCGCCTGTATTTTTTTTCTTTTTTTATTCTTGAAACTATTTTCTTCTTTATTGTGGGTTCCTTAACGATTCTTTGTTCTTCAGGTTCATATTTTTTTTCTAAAAGTAAACTTACTATTCAGGATTGAAAAAAACGCTATTAGAGGGCCACTTATTCATAATGTTATTTTGGTAAAAATTATTTGCTTACATTTTGGTTGAGTCCAGTGAAGCCTAGCATTCTTCATCTATGTTGAACATTTAGTCCATTTTGGAGATGGATCTTAATATGCTACTTTTTAGTGTAAATGAACTTATTCAAGGTTAGGTAGTTTTGAGGCAATTGAATACATAAATTCAAAAGATCATAAATTGTGTCACATGCTTATGTTGCATCTCTTCGAAGCCCAATGGAACAATTATTTACCTTGGCACAGGCACCACGAGTTTTATGGTAGGCAGTCACGATATGCTTATGGCGCATCTCTTTGAAGCCCAATAGAACAACTTTTTACCTCAATATATGCACCACAACTTTTATGTCAGGCAGAGTCACGATTTGGTTTGACCTAATCTGTGGCATGAGAAGGGCCCATGATTGTCTTTTAACGTGTCATTGCTAGTACAAAGAGCCGTTCATTTTGCGAGAGGTTGTGGAAACATTAGATTCACTTGCACATGTGCGGTGAGAGGGAAGCTGTACACACTTGTGCCCACATGGACACACATGAACACATCCATTACTTCCCCCACTTCATTCAAATAAAGAAGAAAAAAATATTAAAATATTAACAATGAGAATAATAAATAATAAATAACGAAATAATTGAAAGACTATAAATAATAATAAAATAAAGTATAAGATAGGAAAAGAAATATGATGGGATGTGGTATCTGTCCCCCATCTTGAGAAGTTGAATGATAGTGCTTCTATCGCTCACTAGGGGACTGCATTTAACGCTTCACATGGTGAGGTAGCCCATAAACCTAATGCGTAATAATGATAATAAAGATGGACCACCTGGGGTCAATGTGAATTTGGTCCCCATATTAAATTAAAAATGGGGGGAATATTTCACTCTCCCCTACTTTTGGTGCCTACTTGCATTTGACCATGACACCTCCCTCACTAGATTTTTTTTTTCAGTTTTTTAAAGCTTCCCTCCTAGCTTGGATTATCTCTTTCCTCCTATCCCATATCATTCCCGTAGCTTCCCTCTCCAAAGATATTTTTCCCATTCTCTCACTTTGTACCCCCCTCTTGCATGGTGTCATGATACAAAAAAGCAGTGCCAAATTTCACCCAAGCCTTTTGAGAACAAAAATAAGTCCTTGAAACCCTAAGGTATCACCCTAAGAAGTCATCAAAATGAAATAAAAACACTTGGAAATGTACAAAAAAATTTGTAAAAGTGAAAATAAAAATGAATTTATATGAAATTTGCGGCTCACGCATGATCCCAAACACGGATGCTCCAATTCTTTGCTGCACTCCATAAACTAAAAAAATGTATGAAAATGATATGTGTGGCTTCCCAACCAGGTTCACCCAATTATGAGATACACGTAAGATGAAAAGAATAAGCTTTTTTTTCAGTTTCTAGACGTTAGTGCTCTTTTTTTATTGCACTTTCATTCGTGTAATTTTCGAGCAGGATGCTTGACATTCTTGAGAAGTTCCTTATAAGGAAAGGCTACTGCTTCTCTAGATTAGATGGTTCAACCCCAATGAGCTTACGACAATCATTGGTTGATGAATTTAACACGAGTCCAAGCAAACAGGTTTTAGTTTTTGAAACTTTGAGTTTTACACATTTGGACAACTAGCAAGTTCAATCTCCTCTTTGTGTAGGTGTTCCTTATATCCACCCGAGCAGGCGGTTTAGGCCTCAATCTCGTTAGTGCAAATAGAGTTGTGATTTTCGATCCGAATTGGAATCCCGCACAAGACTTACAGGCTCAAGATAGATCTTTTCGTTATGGACAGAAGCGGCATGTTGTTGTATTTCGCCTTCTCGCAGCAGGTTCCCTTGAAGAACTTGTTTATACCAGACAGATTTATAAGCAACAACTTTCAAATATTGCAGTTTCAGGAAAGGTGGAAAAGCGTTATTTTGAAGGTGTTCAGGTATGACAATTGGCTTTTTGTACTTTTCATGCGGTAAATTGTACTTTATCTTTATCTAAAGTTTATAAAGGAAGCAATTTTACATCATTTAAGTATCTTATCTTAGATCATTTCTTTTTTCAAAAAAAAAAAATTATTTTTAGGACTGCAAAGAATTCAAAGGTGAGCTCTTTGGAATCTGCAACTTATTTCGTGATCTATCTGATAAGCTTTTTACAAGCGAGATCATCGAAATGCATGCAAAAAATGGAAAGAAATGTGATGTCTCCTATGGCTCAGAGGAAGTTATGGAAACTGAGAGTAGAATGGTAACAAAATGCTCATTAGTGAATCTGGAAGTTGATGATGCATCTTTGGGTAAGAAAGGAAATCATGATTCGGGCTCAGATAATTATTCTGAAGGCCTTACTACAGCTGAACCAGCACAATCGTTTAATGATTTGGGTAAGTCTGTAAATTGATCTAGTAATATTCTAAAGCATGTTTTCTCTCTGAATTGATGCATTAATGGATGATATTTTAAAAATCATGAAGTAAAACCTTATGGATCAAGGATGAAGTGATGGTGGTGCTGATCGTAATGTGAATTTGAGTCAAATTTTATGCATGATTAGTTTTCTAGTTTACTGATAAATTTATAATGCTATTTGTATTCTTTTAGTTGAAATACAAGGTCATTATAACAATTACTTTCTGTACGCTCTAGACAATATAGCCAAAAAAATGGATGCTTAATTCAATTAGTTTAGGGAGAGAGATTTTATTACATTGGAGATAGATTGGATGAGACATGGAAAAATTGACATTGTATATTCCGAAATTCTATCCATACAACTACCATAATGAGCCCAACTTGATTAGAACCTTGGCCTTATTTAGGGTTTGTTTGGAGTATCTTTCCGTTTGCTTTGACTTTCAGACCACCACCATAATTCTATTAAGGGGACTATTTTCTTGTTGCTTCCTAAAATTTTTTTGTTGTGAAAATGTACTTTTTGTAACCAAATATGTTGAAGTGTGATGGCTGCAAGAAAATTCCTATCAAAATTTTTGAAATAAATAAATATTTATGATTCTCACCATAATTTTTTAAAAAATTATTTTCCTCATAACCTTACAACTATCTTAAAAATCGCTGCAACCGCCCCCAAACGGACTCATTGTTTTACTCTTTCACAACCAATTATCAGCAGCCTGGTCTTGCAAAACTGTGATTTTTCCATTGGATTTTGCAATAAACTCCATGCTCAAGGCCTTTTTGCTTTTTACAGGATTATAATGCTGAAAAAAATTCTGATTATATTTGCTCTCAGGTATCCTTTATGCTCATCGAAACGAAGATATTGTCAACATGGGGCCTCACTATCATGGGAACCCAGATTCAATTACTGCAGATGAACAAAATATTTCTAAGTTATTGTTTAAACAACATGTGGTGAAATCCTGTACAAGAGAACAGAAAAGGGATGAGTTCGGGAAAATTGCGCAATACAAGGGAATGGAGCTCTTGCAGTTCTGTAAGTGGATACTATCTGCAGCACCTACTGAGCTGAAACAATTGCTCAAAGATTACCAGAAGAGAAAAAGGAAGCGGAAGTTGGTAAATTGAATTTTGCAGAACAGCAGTTTCTGAAGGTAATTTTCTTCATAGAATTTTGTATTTAAGGATTAGTTTTACAATTCAGGAATAAAATGTGGTATTTTGATTATTTAGTTAGGGTTTCTGCAGGATTTTTTTGTACAGCATAAATGTTCTATGTTTATAATTTAAGAAGATTTACATGCATACCTCTTAATTTTTATGTATTTACATATCAAACACCTAAATTTTATATTTTTTTACATATATGCCAAATTTATGCTTGAAAAGGTGCATTCAACATTTTAAAAGTTAAAATAGTGGTATTGTTTTATGTGGTATAGAAGATCTGGGTAGGATAAATGTAAAAGTAAAGTTTAGGTGTTAGATATATATAAATACATAGAAATTGGATGGTATGTATGTAAATGTCCCAATTTTCAGTTTTGTATTATTTTTGAGAAATGAAATAATGGGCATATTTCTCTAATTTCGGGCATTATAGAGTATATAAATTAAAAAAAAAAAAAATCTTTGATTTTAGTTGCTATGTCCATCATTTGAAATAGGCATCAAATTTTTTTTTTTCCAAACTTTTTCGAGTGCTAAAGGACTATCAGTATAATTTTAAAAGATGGTAGTGAAACCTGCAATATTTTATGACGTAGAATGCCAGCCTTTAAAAGAGAAGCGTAAAATAAAGGTTACTGTTACGTAGATGAGAATGCTTAGGTGGATAAGTGGCTTGACTGACACTTAGAGATAAAATGTGAAACGAATGTAACTATGAAAGGCTTGGTGTAGCTCCAATTACAAACTAGATTAACAAGAGTCGTCTTAGATTGTTTGGTCACATTAAACATCCACCATTTGATGATCCAATTAAGAGAGCAGATGTTTTAGATTTAACTTATGTTACGAAAGGCAGAGGTAGACCTAAAAATTCTCTTGCAGATTGTCTATTAGAATTAAATGAAAATATGACACTAAATAGAACACAATGCACTAATTATTTGCATGATTAATTATTTAACTCGGAATTGTTATAATGTAATATTATTTTAATCTGATAATATAATAGTATTTGTCGTACAAATAATGCATTTTTAGATTTTCTTACCTTTTATATATAAATTAAAATTTGAGGTATTACATATGTAAATACAGAGGCAAAATGTAAAATGAAAAGGTGTATTTTAATTTTTAAAAAGTTAAAAACAGTGATATTGTTAACATGATATGACAATTTTGAGTGGTATAAATGTAAAATTAAGCTTTAGGTGTTAAATATGTAAATATATAGAAATTGGGTGTAGGGCTGGAAGCGAGCCGAGCTTGAGCGAGCTCAGGCTGGGCTCGTGTTCGAAATCGGTTCGTGAACAGTGTGTTCGTGTTCGGCTCGATTTAAATATTTGTGTTCGCATTCGTCTCGAAATTGGCTCGTTAAACTAAAATTGAGAAAAATAGATGTAAAGTGTGAGATTTGAACCTAGATCAAATCTATACAAAAGAAGATACTAATCACATTGTCACATTAGGTGTTACGATTTAAACTTAGACATAAATATATATAATATATTATTATATAAATAATATATGTAATATATTGTTATATAAAAAGTTATATAATTTTTTTTTTCGAGTCATTTCGAGCAGAACACGAGCGAACAAATTGTTGTTCCGAACAAACTGTTGCTCGTGTTTGGCTTGTTTACATTTCGAGCTTAAAAATTTGTTCGTGTTCGGCTCGTTAGGCTAAACGAACGAGTCAACCACGAGTTGCTTCACGAGCCGAACACGAGCTGTTCACGAACAACAAGCCAAATTGACAGCCCTAATTGGGCGGTACATGTGTAAATGCCTCTTAGAATAATATCATAAATATTGTCATATGAGCACCTCCTCATTATTTTCACATAAAAGGAAAAAAAAAAAGGAAAAATGATAAAAACATAATTACATACTTTTCAGTATTAAACTTTAGGAAAAATAATATAGAAAGACCAAACAAGCAGAAAGGTCCCCCCAGTTGTACTTAATTACAACAATGATATGAACGGTGGAGATTTCTTCCGAAATTATATGAATGAAATTACAATGATAAACTTTCATCAAGCATCAGGTTTGGTTTACTTGGTGGAATCATATCCTGGACTGACTTCTGTAGTTCTCATATTGATCCATGAAATTATCATTGAAGTTTTTGAAGCTGGCCATGATAGCAGGCATGTCTTCCTCAGCTGGCAGTATGGTTGTTCTTAGATGGAAAACTCTGCAAAAGTTTCAGACTTGTGAAGATTCAAATTTACATATATACCACACAATTATTTATTTACATATCTAACATCTAAACTATCATATTTATATGCAGGAAAGATATCACCATCACTATCTTTTTAAAAGTGAAGTGCAGCTTCTCGTGCGTAGGTTTAAGAGGCCAAGTTTTTAAAAGTGTAAAAATCAAACTTTGGGTGAATATATAAAAATGGTGGAGTAGGCATGCAAATGTTTCTAAAAGAATTGGGTATTTACATACATGCCACACAAATCTTATGTATTTGCATATCTAACACCTAAACTATCATATTTACATGCATATCACTGAAATCTTTAACATCATATTAAAAAATATCACGTCACTATCTTTTTAAAAGTGAAGTACAGCTTTTCATGCATGGGTTTAAGAGGCCAAGGTATTAAGAGTGTAAAAATCAAACTTTGGGTGTTAGATGTAAATACATAAAAATTTTGTGGTGGGTATGCAAATTTTTATAGTTCTACAGTATGTGATGATTTTGCTTCCAGAATAAAACATAAAAAGAAAATTTTCATACATATCATAGACTAATTATGCATTCACATATCTAAAATTTGAAATTTACAAATATAACACAGTAGTATCTTTTATTTGATGTTAAGGATTTAAGACTTAACAAAAGAGTTTAGGTGTGTTAGATATGCAAATGCATAAGAATTTCATGGCAAGTATGTAAATTCTAAAATTATAGAGTGCTAACCCATCCTTCTGGCCAAATCCGGAGCCTGGAACTGTAGAAATACCAGTAGCTTCCAATAGCTTCAGGCAATAGAAAACATCAGGAGCCTTCCCAGCATTGTTTGCAGCATCAATTGCCTTTTGTGGCAGGCGAATTTGTGGAAATGAATACATAGCTCCTAACACATTTTTAAGGAAAATTTTAAAAAAATAATTAAATATATTAAAAAAATAAATAAATAAAAAGATGCAGTATTACTTTCAAGGACTCATCACCTTCTGTAAAATTGCAAATTACATTTTTGCAGCTATTAAATCCATCAGTCATTATATGAGCTCTTCTCCTCAGGGAATCTAGGATTTCCTTACTACATGAGGCCACAAAAACAATTAATGGAGATATGTAAAAAAAAATCTATTACATCCATTAATGCAAATAAAAAGTTTAGGTATGCAAATACAAAAGTTTAGGTGGGAGATATGTAAATACATAAGACAAAATGTAGAAATATTCATGTAGCCGACCCCATTTAGTGCGATAAAGACTTCTTGTTGCTGTTGTTGTATATGTAAATACATAAGAATTTTTGTGGTATGTAGATGAAGAAGAGGGTTAAATAACTAAAAAATAAATAATTTATGTAAAATTAAGACTTCAAAGGGGAGGTTTGTGAGATTCAAACCTTTCTGTAGTGTACTTCAAATAAGAGATATCACTAGGCTTTGGAGGATTTACCATCAACCCTAGCTGAAAACAAAATAAATCTGTTTTTTTAAAGTGACTCCTTTATGATCAAGCATAGAAAAAACACATTAAATAGCACAAAAAATATTTAGGGTTACAATTATAACCCCAAAATTTTATATGTAAAATAACAGTGCAAAAGTTTTTATAGAAATATTTCATAATGGGAATACACAGTGCATGATAAATCCTATTCCCAGTCATAATGGAGGCTGCATGATTGGTGCTCTGGGCTCACCCTCTTACAATATTAAGAAAAGGCTTTTACATACATAGCACCCAATTCCTATGTATTTACATATATGACCCCTAAACTTTTCTTTTTCCATTTATACCATACAAATCTTACATATCACACAAAACACTACCATTATTTTAACTTTTAAAATGTGAAATACACCTTTTCATTCATTAGTAAGGTAGCATATATGTAAAAATTGAAGTTTATGTGTTAGATATGTAAATACATAGGAATTAAGTGGTGTGCATGTAAGTCTTCCTCGGAAGTAAATTGATGAAGTAAAATTACTTACAAAAATCTGTCCAGGGACATTGGGGCTCAGTGAAATTGATGCAACTTTATAAATTTCATCGACGGTCTGTGGGAAACACGAAAAGAACAGACATTTAGAATTAGCATATAATTGTCAAGCTATATGGATGCTTGGCAATGACTGTTAAAACTAAAGAACAAACACATTGTGTAAATCTGTTTGCGTGCTTTAAAATGCTTTAGGGTTTCATGTCCATTTGGGGGCTGCTCTAGCTTTTTGCAAAGATGGTTGTAAGGATGTGATGGGGAAAATATTGTTTTAGAAAATTATGAGAAATATAAATAAATATATATGTATATATATATTTATAAAGCCAATCAACAGTTTTCTTATAACCACCACACTTCAAGAGGTATGGTTGTAAAAAGCAGTTTCCCACTATAATAATTTTTAGAAAGCAGTAAGAAAAATATTTCCCGAATAGAATTGTGATGGCAGTCTGAAACTCAAAGTAGACAGAATGGTTGCTAAGAGGAATCCGCTATAGATCTGAGTATTTTGTTGAGTCTGTCATCAAAGCGAAGCATCATTTCACTTCTGTCAGGAAGAGGTTGTAACAATAAAAATGGCTTGGTCCCAAGCATGACTGATATAGGGGTTTTAAAGGGTATAGGGTTTCTCATACAGCCTAGAATTGGATGAAAGAGAAGCATATAAAAGATTGTTGGTTACTAACTCATATTTTTAGCAAAACTTATCCCTTTTAATGTAAGGGTAGCAAAAATGCTTTGTTGATCTCAAATAATATGTCGATGTCATCCATTATGAAACTTCATACGAAAACAACGACAAACATAAAATTTCATGAATGTTCAAGTTCATAATTCAAAAGAAAACTTCGCGCGAAAATAAACTTTTGCTTTTCATCTCAAAGAGGAAGCACCAATTCAGGAACAATATTTTGTAGCTTCAGTAAAATCTGAAAACATGGCATTCAATTTTTATTTGCAGAAAAAATTATGAAACTAATATGAGTAAAATTTCAAATTTTAGTAGAAAAGAGAGATGGTAAAACCTGCAGAGAAAGGTTTGTCATCTCAAAGTATCCCCCGCGCTGTCCGCATTCGCCCCAATAACCTTTCGAAACAGTGTGGAAGGATACAAGTTGCACCTCATTGCTAATAGGTGGACCCATATCCAACAATATCTAGCACCATTGAAAAATATTTTGAAATTATAAAAGATCTCAAAGAAGCATTAATTACCATATAAATAAATATATATATAGACTTACCATATATATATATAATTATTAGTTAAGAAAATTACCTTTCTAGCACTTATGAAGGGCCGCTCATCCTGATATATATTTTGCTGATAAACTTCATCTGCCAGCAGGACTAAGTTCTCTCGATAGCAAAATAACAATATTTCCTTTAAATTGGATTCACTGAGACATTGTCCAGTAGGGTTTCCTGGGTTTATGATCACCATAGCTCGAATCTGAACCATCCATAAAAAAACCAACTTGAATAAGACAGGGGCATTTACATAAATACCAAGACAATTCTTATCTGTTTTCATATCTAACACTCAAACTTTTAGATATATATGCATAGCACTTAAATCTTTAATATCACATAAAAAAATACCATCATCATTGCCATTTTAAAAGTGAAATGCAACTTTTCATGTATATGTTTATTAAAACAACAAAGTCTCATAAATGTAAATATCAAACTTTAGATGTTAGACATGTAAATACACAAGAATTGTGTGGTTTGAAACTGATATAAAAATAGGATCATACATAACTTGATGCAGAGTTTCAAGTGATGCTTTGTAGTTGTCATAAGGCAAATATTTTATTTTTACGTGACCTTGTAACGGGCATTTTTATAAATTGTCTTTTTAATTACATGATTTACAACATATGAACCTTATTTCTAGTAAATTGAAGTGTCCAGATAGATTCTTAACAGAGAAAATGACATTTGGCTTCCAAGAGTTTAATGCGTGCACAGTTGAAATATAAGGGATCGATAGAAGAATAATCACAGCAAAGAAAGACAAAAATAAACATAAATTGGCATGCTTTAGTGAGATATACTTATATCCACAGTAAGAGATTAAATAGTTTCATAAGCTTCAAAGGAGGGGAATCAAGGATTTCTCTACATAGATTGATGATTTAGAGTCGGACAACAAAATGCATCCACTTGATGAAGTGGATAGCATAAACCTTCAATGGTTGAAGCTAAACATTGAGAGCACAAAAGCGCTTCTTATAGGAGATAGAGTAGAGCAACGTAGCAGTCAACAAAGACGGTTGATAAAAACTTCTTTCTCTCTATGAGAAAAACATGTGCCAGATTCCTAAAGGTGCATTGCCGAATAAAAGCCACCCAAATCCATCCTTGCCCTTTTCTCTCCCTAGATGTAGATAATCCGACACCCCTCCCTTCATCTCTTTTTTTTTTTTTTTTTTTTTTTTTTTTTTGATTCAAATCTCCTCTGTCAAAGAATTTATTTATGGTGAAAATAAGCAAAGCTTAAAAAGACGAAATCAGGAACCAAAGAGTTTTGTCCTAAAGAGGTGAGGCGTAAATCTCAAGTCAGATCAAAGTTTAATCCTCAAAAAAAAAAAAAAAAAAAACTCAAAATTAAAATAATTCATAAATATGATATAAAACATTAATATGTTCATTTAGTTTTATATCATAAAGACATAAACTACAAATCCTAATTTTAAATATTGATATAAAATAGAATTTGAAATTTCACTTCCATTGAATATTCATTTAAAATTTAATAATTCAATGAGGATCATGATCCATAGTGGACTCGTTCTTATTTTTATCATCTTCACAAGAATTATCATATTCATAATTATTTAATTGTCTTATTTGCAATATTAAAATATTCTTCATTCACTATAACTTTCTTCTTACTATTGATTAATCATATATTTATATAATATAAAATAAAAATAAATTAATAACATAATCAAACAATCGTATTAAAAATATCTGAATTTTTATGAGACATTATATCAGATATATTATAATATAATATAATATACTTTTTGGATAATTTGATCAAGGTGTTGCGTCAAAAGTTTTGAGATATAAAACCTTAAACGTATGCCTCAGAACAAAAAAAACGCAAGCCACACTGGTGGCAGTGAGGCTTCAGCCTTCACGTTTTTTTTTTCTTTTGTACGTCTCAATTCAAATTGTTCCTTGAGGCGTAAGACAATCTATTAATAACAAGTCTCAAAGATTACAAGTACTTTAAAAGTTCAAAAGAATATATTATGGTCCATAAATAATTGTAAATACACCTTTGTAAATCTCTATTAAATAATTGTAATAAATGGGAGATATTGATAACTTGTAAAAAATTGATAAGGGTAAAATTGTCTTTGTAGTTTTTACTTTTGCATGCAAAATCTTTAGGCCTTTATCACTCATATGGCTTAGCATGTGATATCATGTATTTGAATTTTCTTATGCGTTATGAATATCTCTTACTATTATTGTGATGGTGGTGATAGTTAAGAGCGTGTATCTTGTCAACCCGAGCAATCACAAAGATAACTTTTGTTGCTTTCCAAGTACCAACGTTGAAAGTAGCATGATAGCCTTTTTAGCTAGTTGTTGGATGAAGATTAAATTTTTTTCTCAGGCCAAAGATGTGCCTGACTTAGTTTAACTTAACAAACAATTCCATTAGTTGACTTGATTAACAATTTTTGCAATATTCAAGGGCTCATCATCAATAAAGAATAATTTGTCATGATTGCTAGTATAGTAGTTTCTCATAAATCATTGTTTGAAGAAGAATGTGGGGAAAAATTAAATCAAACTAAACTTTCAAGCATCGAGATATTGTTTGTTTTGGCCAGGTAGCCTCACTATTTTGCTCCAATGATGTAACTTCCCAGGAGGTCACCTATCTTAAGAGCACTCTCATGCGAGCACGCTTCAATTTGGAGTTTCTGATGAAATTCCAACAGTTACACCAAAAAACATCTCAATGTTTAATAATTCAGCTTCACTCTACTTAAGGGGTTTTACAATCTCACCCACTTAAGTATTTGATACCCCCATTAGTTCTCTAAGCCTAGAATCTAAAGGTGGCCCCTACAGATTCAAGATATGACTCATACAATGTAGCACTTTGTCCCATCTAAGGTTTAAGATGTGGCTCCCATGGCATAGCATCTTGTTCAGTATGGCACATAGTTCCATCTTCGGACTGTTGTATGGCTCCAATACCATTTGTAAAAACCTGAACTCTCAAGCATCTAGATATTGTCCGATTTGGCTTAATGGCCTCATAATTTTGCACCAATGGTATAACTTCCTAGGAGATCGCCTATCCCAATAGTGTTTCCATGATAGCACACTTAACTTTAGAGTTTCTAATAAAATTCTAACCGTTATACCAAAAGTCATCTCGATGTTTAAGAGTTCAGCTTTAACCTACTCAGAAGGGGTTTCACAAAAATAAATAAATAAGTAACTCACTTGAGTTGCAACTTCAAGTAAACATGTTGCAACCACGAGAGTGTCATATGAGGCATTTACTTACCTTCTTAGAGTTGTGTTGATTTTTTTGGAAGCTACATAACCAAGAGAGCCAATAAAATGAAAGTTAAGGCAGATGCATTTACTATCATGTTTAACTAGGAGGCAGATTCTAAATATCTAATGGGTATGAAAAAATATTTTAGTGGCAAAAAATGTTTCAAGTCTATCTTGCCTAGTTTGTTAAACGAAGCTAAACGAAGAAGCTAAAATCAATTGGATCAATAAGTAGAGGAAATTTTCTGAGGTTTGGTCAAAAGCATTTAGGTAGTTAGGTAGGTGGGAATACGAGACCTAAGAAAAAGTACATCCAATCTTCAACTTTGACCATCCGTTCTCGAGGAAAAAAGCAATGATATTTCTTTGAGGCTCCCTCTAATCTAAATTTACAGTTCCAACCCTTCATAAGCCACAATTTAAAATTAAACTTTGGTCTTCACATTTCTCATTTAAAACATCACTAAGAATATTCTTTAAGAATTTCTTAAGGTGCAAGGATTCTTGGTTACCAAATTTATTTGGCTGGAATTAGCTCAATGAAAAAGTATGACTACACATAACTACGAAAAAATAATAGAGATGAAATACACTGCCAGATCTTTATATGAATTAAGCAGTCATAGGAATGAAAATAAAAAGAGGCATTTATATACATAGCACACAATTCTTATGTGTTTACAGATGTCACACCTAAGCTTTCATATTTACACATGTAAGACTCAAATCTTTAATATCACATCAAAAATAGCACCGTTACTATTTTTTAAAAGTGAAAAACACATATTCATGCATAGGGTGTGCTGTATATATAAATATGAAAGTTAGGAGTGAGCTATGTAAATACATAAGAATTGTGTGGTTCGTATGTAAATTTCCCAAATAAAAAATATCTGATTAGAGAAAAAAAATTGCTCACAATTATCCCTTTAGCACGTGCCGTTGCGACAGATTGTTTAACATTTTCCAAGTCAAGACTCCAGTTTGCTTCTTCCTCTAAATAATATGGCACAAGGGAGCCACCATATAACAATATTGTAGCTGAATAAAGAGGATATTGTGGAACTGGCACCAAAATCTGCAATACACAGTGATAGGTGGAGAACCATCATGTTTCTTCAAATCAAAGCACCAAATTTCACATTTTTTGCATAAGTATCATAAACTTAAAAGGCTTTGTAGAAATCATACCCCATCTCTATCATTTCTGATAATAGAATTTAGCATCTGCATAACCCCTTTGCTGGCTCCATCTGTCAGAAATATAAGCTCTGGATCGCTGTAACAAGAAGATTACATAAAATAAATAGCATGGAACTTGTAATTCAGTCCCTACAATCCTACTTATTTAAATGTGCTTAATATCTTCTGGCTTACCTAGGATATCCATCACGTCTCTCAATAAACTCAGCAATTTCCTTCCTGATACCAGGAAGACCTCGAGAATCACTATAGGCGCCTGATAAATTATATACATGAAGTGAACATTTAGTATCTTTTGTGTTTAAGAAAAATTTTCAAGTCAAAAATGTAGAAATGAAGGACAAGAAGGTAAAGTAATTAAAAAAAGTGAATAAACAATGATCTACGACTTCCTGAACATGAAAAAATAAAAAATCAGATAAGATTACATGCATATCACATAATTCTTATGCATTTACATTTTAAACACCAAAAGTTTGATATTTACACATAACAGTTTGGTGTCATAAAACTATGCATAAAAATGTGTATAAAAAGTTAACAATGATGGTGTTTAGATGTAATGTCAAAGTTTTGAATATTATAAATGTAAATATAAAAGTTTAGGTGTAAGATATATACATACATAAGAATTCTGTGGTCTGTATGTAAATGCTCCAAAAAATATAAAAAATTATAAAGTGATATACCAAGGCCACCGGGAGTCATTGAAAGGTAATGTTTGGCTCTCGCAATGGCATCAGCAGATAACTCTACATTTGGATCATCTAGAAGAAATGGAGCCTGACAGAGTGCTACCACCTAAATAACCCTATTTTCATTAGTAAGAAAGTTTAAATATATAATATGGAAAGAACAAAAAATTCAATCATAAATAAAAAAGATATATTTATTTATGAATTGGCAAAGAGAGATTATATGTAGTTACATCTAAAATTCTGAGGCCAACAAAGATGTGTTGAAACAACAAACCTGGCGAGGGAATGTCAATGGTTTCTGCCCTAAAGCATGAGGGTTGCCAACATTTGTGAAAATTATCTGCCAAAAGATTGAAAATTATGCCAAGAGTCAAATGTCTGAGAATTATGAGTTACTTTTATACATATAGTAGAAGTATAACAAGCATAAGTTACTTTTTATGCATATCATTAACTAAGGGGCCATTTGGGATAACTTTTGTTTTACATTTTTATTTTGTTTTAATTTGTTTTGAATTGTTTTTAAAAACACTCAAAACAGTTCAAATTTGTTCTGAGTGTTTCAAAAACATGTTGATTTACTTTTAGAAATAAAAAAATAATAATAATATTAGGAACTCATCAAACAAACATATTTTAAAAACAAAAGAAAAAATAAAATTGATCTCAAACAAGCCCCAAGTTACAAGAAACGGAGTTAAAACAAGCCCCTACAGGCAAATGAGATAAGAAACAAATAAGCATATTAAAAAAATTCTATTACAGTCATTTTATTTCTTGGAGATGGAAAGCGGGTGCTGCTATAAATTTGCTAAAGATTAAGTTTTAATATTGGTTGTGCATTCAAGGCTGATTTTGTAAGCATCTGAAATATCAGTTGTGTAGAGACTATCTAATAGAGCTCCAAAAAATGTTACATTTTACTACATGCAATTATTTCATATTTTAAAAACAGTAAAGTTTTGCTAATATTTTTATGAAATGTTGTGAAGCACAACTCCATTGTCCCACAATTTGTGCAGGCCAATTAAATATGTTCATCTACTATGGATCTGATGGTTAATTAACTCTTGTTGTTTCCAAGTTTTTGATAATGCAAAGCATATTTGCATACGTAAGAAAAATGGTTTTTTTGAAAAAACAAATTAACACAAAATAAAATTTACATCCAAATAGCTTTGATAACTCTAATCATGATGATGCTGACCTTAACAATCCAATGCCTATGTTTTCATGACTTGATGATGAATTTCACTGAATATCTACCTTGATATGTTTGATAAGCAAATTTACATCATAAAGCATAGTAAATTTTCAGACCTCATTCTTCTCAATTTTTTGCTATAAAATCTATAAATAGCTGCAATAATTTACAACCATCTTTTATGAGAAAAATTTTCAGCACTTTCTGACTAAACAACCAATTGTCACCATCTCAAAGGAAAATTTTCTCTTATTAAACCTCTGAAGTATTTCCTCATCAACAGGGTCAGCGCATGCAAAAAAACAAAAAACTCTAATCTACAGTTACAAAGTGTTCATCTTCATCCCACCGTTCTACTCAGTAACTCTGCCCTTCTTCCAGATCCAATCAGCAGAACAAGTTACAGAAACCACTTCCAGGGTTTGAAACCTATTCAAATCAAAATTACAGAAAACAAAGACAAAAACACACCTTTTTCCCTTCCTTCTGAAGCTCAGAAGCCCGCAGATAAAGCTCCCCCCTCACCGCATACGCCACCTTCTTCACATTCTCGTTCAGGGATTCATAATCCAAGGGCTTAGGCGGCATGATTGCAGTGAAGATCCTGCAGATAACAAGCAATCAAGATCTAAATAACAGCAAAAGGCCGCATCTCAGCTCGAAACCCATTAATGAAATATCTAAAAAGGTCACCTTCAATCCAGATAAGGCGGACAATGGAGTTGAAAGGGGGCGAAGCAATGGAGACTAAAAGGAGGAGTAATCTCAGCGGATAACTAGTCGCACTGTGGCCTCTTCTTTTCTCTGAAAAGCAGAGGCAGCATGTGTTTATATATAAAACAATCGATTTGTGATATTCAGAGCTTCAATCTCGATCTCAAAGGGCGATTTTGAAAAAATGGTTTCTGCAATTGGGAGGATAATGGAATCCAGAATTGAGTGGAAGGGACGCAGAGAGAGAGAGAAAATAGAGCACGATAGTGATAGATTGACGAAGGTGAGGAGGAGGAGCGAGCGAGAATTGGAGGCCAAACAAATGTCGAGAAAGAATATATGGAAATAAAAAAGGGAGTTTTAATTGTAAAATGATTAAACTTTTATATATTTACATATTTGATATTATACAAATATCTGCACACTGTCGCCTCTGCAGTTGCGCCGTCGAGTCTCCAACCTTCGGGGGGCCGTTTGGGCAGCTTGGCGGCAAAATAGGGTTTAATTACTGCAAAATTTAATAATTTATTAAAATTTGGATTTAATCAATTTAAAAATTACCCCATTAATAAATTTTGATAGATTATTTAATTGCTTTTTTAAAATATTTAAAACTTTTATGGTTAGTTAGTCCTCAATATCAATAGAATTTTTCCTTTTTTTTTGTTGATTAACATCTAATTTATGAAAAATCACGCATTTAAAATAAACTTATGCCAACTTTATTGTTCATCAACCACCTTCAACTAATTTTCACATGAATTATTAATTGTTGTCGATTGGTGCTGAGATCGGAGTTGACCCGAACCACGACTCTAAAATACGAATATTATTGTTGGCTCTAAATGAGTTTACAGTGGGGACTCAAAGTAAAAGAAACAACTAACCAAAGCAACGGTGCAGGATAAAAGCAAACACACAACACTATTACGACAACACAAACAAGTTTGACTAGCAGGAAATTCGGAGGAGATAAGTAGGTGATAGTGGTTGCGGTGAAGATTAGGTGGTGATAGATGTAGCTTGATGCAGTTTGTAGGGGAATAAAGGGGGCAATAGCAAAGTGGTGGAGGGGTGGCATCGAACCACAGCTGGACGAGGGAAATGTCATCTTCGGGGCTGGATCCGATGGACAGAGACTAGAGGCCTGCAGGAGGCAGGGTGGAAGGGAGACGGCCTACGGGGCAGGGAGGAAAAGAGAGTTTGCGGCCTTACTGAGAGAAGGATGGCAGCAGGCCAGAGGGAGGAAGAAGTTGATCTGCAACTGGTTCGTTCCAAGTAGGAGACTGGGTGGCAGCCTGCAAGGATGCATGGGGGAGACTGGAAGCTGCTAGGGGTGTTGGATTCAAGGAGCAGCAGCAAGAAGGAAGGCCGGCCTAGAGAGGCTGCTAGGAGCAGTTGGAAGCAGGACAATAGCCAACGATTGTCGGGGAAGAGTGCAAAAGCAGTGACGGTTAAGGTAAGTGAAAAGGGGAGATAACATCACAACCTCATAGTAGGATACAATCAGAGCATCACCACTTCCACGGATACAACCCTACAAAATGAAAAATGATTCCACACAGACATCTGAAAACAAACCCCTAACTCCAAGCATAACACCCATTATTTATAATAGGGACTATAACTCAATTTAAGCAAGTTTTAAAATAAGAAAAAGTAATCAGAATTTCACTTTAGAAAATGGATTAATGTAATGGAAATTAAGATTTAAGAAAGATTAATAAAATATTCAAAAAATTTAATTTGGAAATTCAGTTTAGGAGAGAGATTATAATGAAATTCATATTTAGGAAAAATGAATAATAATATTGAGAAATTCTAATATGAAAAAACTTATATTAGGAAGGTGCTTAGAAGGAAAGAGAGGAAGGGGAGAGAAGGAAAAGGGAGGAGTAACGGTCTCCCTCCCTTTGAGAACTGATTGTTCCACCATAGCCCCCTGCATCAGATGTCAAGTTATCATCATCTCTCATTACTTGGCATGGGTTGATCTCAATATCCAGCATCACTCGTTGTATATCAGGAATGTGTCAGCATAAATCTCAAAGAAATCCAACGATTCAGAAGGAAGGAATTATAAGAAAGGAAGGCCCACCAATGAAAGACCAAGAGTTTCCACATACTCAATTTCCGAACAAAAAATGATGGTTTTCCAGGCCAAAAGAAGGACGATCAAAAGCGCGATCTGAGTATAAACTGATAGAACTAGAACACCTGAAAAAGTTAATATTTACTATAAAGCTCAGCATTCATTGTTTACAACCATCAAACCGCTATTCCATCTTCTTTGCATTCTCTCTGTCTGTCGACTGTTATCATTCTCTTCTGCTTACTTGCAACTATTTTCATTTTCATCGTCTTCATAGATTCTACTTCAATAATTTAGATCTTGTAATCATGCATTCCTTACTAACTATAGAAAGGTGTATCATTATAAATTTAATTCATATAGTGGAACAATTATAATTAGGTCAAATTATATGATTCTATCTTGTAAGAGTTATATATATATCCTTGCACCCCACATACTCAGATCAGTTGGTCAGACATCTGCTTGTCATTTGTAAGTCCCCTCTGGTCTGGACAATCAACTCCTCTTAACACTACAAATACTTCTACACACGAGAATAGCCGTGGAATCAAACTCTTTTTTATAAGGGTTGGCAAAATTTTAAATATTTTAATAATATAAAAATTAATTAAAAATAATACCATTAAATTCATAATTGAAATATAGAAATAGAGAAAAATATATAAATAAATAAGGAGTGAGGTTGTCCATTTTTTATGAGAAGTGGGAAAATTATAAATTAAGGATGGACAAATATCTAATAATTAATATTTTATTAAAATAAAAAAATTGAGAGAGAGCAGAAGGTGCTTCTACTTCTACATAATGAAAAAATTATTACTTGAAGATGACTTCATGCTGGACGATCACCTGAACGTGGCCAAACAATCGTGGTCATACATCAGGCTATGTGGATCATCATTCGAACATGCGGTCGCAGCACATAATAATTTCTTCCACCCGACAAGCATAGCTTTGATTTTGTTAGCACTAAGTAAGTTGCGATTATGTTTATGAGGTTAAACTGAATGCTTTGAGGATGATATATAACTTTCAAATTCGATGTAGCGAATATTACACGCCCGAATAATTGAACTTAAATTCTTTGAATATTAATTGATCATAAAATTAAATGCTAGTTTGATTATTTATATTAAACTAAATAACTTATGTTCGCTCTTTAAAAAATAATATCCAAATAAATTATTAATGACTATATCTTTTCAAGTTATTTTTATATTTTGACTAACTATTTTTTTAGGAAAATTTGCATATTTAGCACACTATTTTGATGTATTTACATATCTACTTTCATACTTACATATATAGCATTTTGATGTCTCAAGCCTGTGCAAGAAAATGTGTATTTCACATTTCAATTAAATCACAACGCACGAGGAAGCACATACCAATCCAAGTTAAAGAAAAACAACACAAAGCATGGTTCCAATAACATACAACAGGGTGCAAACTGTAAGAAAATCTCATTCATACTCTGCAAAACTGGACAAATTTCAAAGTCTAATTGACTGATAAATCTGTAATAAGAAAAAAGTTCAAATCTTGAACATAAATCTACTTAAAACACTTGGCATCCAAAATGGCTTCCCCTTCAAAGGGCTCCTGATCCTCAATCATGGCATTCACTCTACTCTTTCCTTCTGAGCTTCATCATCCATGTCCACTTTAATCCACTCATAAAGCTCCATATCATAACATTCATCAAGAACAAATTGAGGAATCTGGTTCCCTCGGAAGAG